AAGAGGTGAGACCCCATTTCCAGCCAAGGGTGAACGCAGCCACGCCGCCGTGAGACTGCGTGGGATTCAGTTTATCGCGCATACCACCCTATGAACTCATGCCCCCCCCATGGCTTGACTACAAAAAACTGCTCATTTGATGTCGCATTCTCACAGGTTCTGACGATGGCTCAGACTAATACACCGTCTGTCCCAGAGATCGTGTGTTCATCTTCTTTACATTTTCTTGTCTTTGGAGGAAAGTGGATGCGACAGGAGGGAGCGCAGTAGGTACTGCACAAGCCTGTTTCGCTATAAAATAATTCACTCCAAACTCACTGTTCTCCGGCTCACCTCGTGGGGCAGTGCTGGACGTCGTTGCTCGTGACTGTAGAAGATTCATACGGAACAAAGTCCTCGATGATTTATTTCTTGTTTCTTTCTACCGCCGCCTATCGTTCATAATGTAATTTAATTTAATTAACCTCTCCCTCGTCCGTTCTTTTTATATTTTTTTGCCATGACACAGTCTTAAGCCAACTGCCGCTGATTACTGCCCTGCTATGCTAACTCCCCTATCGGTTCCCATTAAAAAGGAACACAGAGAGCACTAGGGCTAGATTTCTGAGTTACTTAGCTCTCTCGGAGAAAAGCACCGACTTGTGTTGTATGCAGAGAAGAGATGTACCGCCGAAAACAGAGGAAACTGAGATGGCCATTTCTGTCCGGTTGTTCAGACCCACTAACTGGCCTGGATTACCTGGGATCCTAGTGGTCTTCGGGTTGCTATACATCGCCGCTGCTCCTCCCCTCCAGTAACCCCCTCGACCAAATATTCGTCATACACTACTGCGCGATCTGTTCTGCAGATGTTTTGCAGAAACAAACCCCGACTAGTCGAATACTTAACAACGTGCCACGTCCACATTCGTTTATGAAATGTTCTACATTTGTGTACAGTGGAGTCACTTGCCACGAAATAACATACTGAAAACAAAATCCCGAACGAGGGCAGGTGTACTTTTGCAAAGGTTGGACGCGAGAAAGACGCAGACCAGGACATACTAAAACGTCTAGGCGATCTGCCCACGAGTGACGAGAAGTCTAATGCATCCTCCAGTTGGTAAAAGAACGCGACCCGAACGGCGACATCAAAGACGCTCTTCTTTTCGCTGCACAGAGGGCTATTGACTTGAGTTCTGATATAACAGACATGTGCAGAGGAACTCATCAACAGAGTCGGCCCCTCGAAATTCCGATGGACAGACTCAAAGTCAAGGGACAAATCATGAAACACGCAAGCATACGCCTTCTCTTTATGTAAATGGCTGGTGAAGACTATCAACCCTGGTAGGGGGGGCTCGCCGATCGTTCATACGGAACTCACTCGTTCCGTTGTGCTTTACGGGCTGTCTCTCTCGAGCCCAACCAGCAGCCACACGGCGGCGCATGATATACAGGCAGAATGGCATTACCGACAAAGACAATGCAGACTAGAATGGCTATTTCTGGCTTATTAGCCGTCGTCAGCCAGCCATACCCAAGCCCGACGTGTGGAACACCCGAGCCTCGAACTCGCGACCTGTTGGTTAGAAGTCCACGCAGCTGGTTCCGAAGTGTCTTTACCATTAATTTCAGAATGACGGTGTAACCCCAACTCAGAAATTAGCATGCGTTTACAGAAAATTAACAACCACGGAAATGTCCAACAAGGGGCTACTGCAACGCAAGTGATATGTGCTGCGCGACAAGAAAACATTTCGATTTTTTCACATCTCAGTTCATTTCGAGGTCTGTGATTTCGAACGTTCTGAGCGACGATGTCCTGACGACGACCGCAGCATTGCGGTCGCAGGGATGGTGATTTGCCAATAGAAGAGAAGGGATGAGTCACAGGAAGCAGTCATAAAGAAAGAGAGACGATCGCTGGGACAAGCGCTTAATTCGCCTGACGTTTCGGATTCCTGCTCGAATCTGTCACCAGCGACAACAGCAGATACGGGTGGTGCATGCACAAGGGGCTACAGTATTTATAGGATGCAGTCGCCATGCTACCGCATACCTGTGAATATTCACGCCTTCCCCCTTTGTCAGGGATCGTTGCACTTGGTGTGATGACTGTTTGATAGCTGACATTCGCGTCGTTAATTGCTACGATTTCATCACGAGTGTTGGACGTTGGCATGATGATTGCTCGACCATCTGAACCACCGACTAAGGAGTTGGGAACAGTGTTCACCTGTGCGCTCCCCACGTGGTTAATTACTCCGTCTAGGCGAAGTCTCAACACCGAGGAGGGAAGGGGAAGTCATTGCACTTGTTAATGGACTGGGGCCAGTAAACAAGGACTCAAGCAATTTGACGCTTACGCTGTTTTGCGCTCTAGTGAGAATTTTGGCCTCGTCGAATTTGAATGTGTGGCCGGATCTCGTCGAATGAGCCGCAACTTGAAAGCCGGCGTCATTTCTCCGCACGGCTGCAGCGTGTTCGACCATTCGCGTTCGGAGCTGTCTTCCGGTTTCTCCGACGTACTTACTTTGTCCACAACTGCACCACTTAGGGTTGGAGTGACACGCAGACCGGAGGCAACCATCAGACTGTAGGTAATGAAACCGAGAGGCCCGCTGCCAGGGCAGGAAGGGTCTGGAGTCGTTTATCGGATCTGGTGCAGTTGCGGACAAAGCAACTAAGTCGGCAAAACTGGAAGACAGCTCCGAACGCGAATAGCCGAACACGCTGCAGCGGTGCGGCGGAAAGACGTTAGCTCTCAGGTGGCAGCACACTCGACAGGACCCGACCATATTTTCGAATTTCAAGAGGCCGAACTCCTTGCAAGTGACGACAACCGCGTGAGACTCAAGCTGCTCGAGTCATGATTCTCAGGTCCGCACCCCATCAACAGGCGCAGTGACCTCTCGTTACCGTATTCAGTGCTGAGATATGCCCTTGGTCGGGTAGTCAGTCACGTGGGGAGGGCGCGGGCGAGCAAGCATTCCAGTGACAGTGAACCAATTTGCCGAGCTATCGTTACCCCAGCATCCAACACGGATGACGAAATCACGGCAATTGACGACTCGGACGCTGACTGACAGGCCACCATCGTATCAATTACTACCCCAGCGGTGACTGCGCGAGCTGTTAATTACAGTACGCATATGGTCCCACGGCAGCCACGTGTAATGAATATTACACTCATTTCGCCACCATTACCCTTATCTGCGACTGTCTCTGACAATGGGTTCGAGTGAGAAACCGAAGCGTCAGGCCAATAAATTTGTTGTTCCTGTGATCGCATCTTCGTCTTCTGAAATGCTACCTGGACCTCGCCTGTTCGCTTCTATGAGTATTACTATTCCTCCCCTCTCGCATGCATCAGTGCGCTGTACGAACCAGTTGTCATCTGATGCTGAAATTGGGCACAGTAGTCGACAAAGACTAAACATCCTGTCTACGCCTGCCAAGCACGAACTGAACCACGCACAACACACCAGACGCCCACACGAAGGGGGGGGGCTCGGATTTCACATGTGTAAGAATGCCATAGATGTTATAGTAGGGGGTTGAATCTCAACTCACGAGTCGGTCCTTCTACAAATACGACTGACTGCGAGGTCATGCTGCTTCCCGTCTACAAACAAGCATCCATATGCACAGTTTCACCAGATAGAGAACCCCTTGACCAGAGGTGATGAGTGTAGCAGTTCGCGTCTCCTCGCTTTCCGTCTTTGTCACGCTGCCCTCCTGTCCGCCTCACACTCCTTGTCGATGCGCTGATGGGATGCGCGAGTGCTCGAAGCCAATCAACGCTGCCCCCACTCTGATTGGCTGACGAGATTGAGACAACGAAGGGCGCACACAAGCGCTGACAACACCTCGAAGGCGGCCACAGACAACAGCTTGCTTGGAGCGCGCTCGCGACGACTGCCTACAGAGCCTTCGTGTACACGCTTTCCAAGCAGTAAAGGTTGTCCAACTCAAACCGTCTTCCCTGACTTTTGATTGGGAATCTTTATCTTGTCAACCACAACACCACATTTCACAATTGGTGACCCCTTTGCGAACAGCAATCTATCTTCCTAATCTACGATAAAGCCAGGCGTTGATCATGGACAATTTTCCACCGGAAGTGCAGCATATTTTGGCACCCGCCTTCGGCACGCTTTCGGCCACGCAACTTACTCAGATGGCCGATCGGCTTATGGAGATGCACGGTTTTTCCAAGCCGTCTATTTCAGCACTCTCAACTCCCTCAAATCCTCCTGCGTCTCCCGTTTCGCAGTTAGAGATCGAGCTCAACAAGCTGGCCGATGATATAGCCGCTCTCCAGAAGCCCACAGTTTCTGCCTCCTCTCGGAGCCAACCGAAGCCGTCCACCCAGCATGCCCAGTCTTTTCATCCAGCCCGTCCAAACGCAGCTGCCACCTGCTGGTACCACACCACCTTCGGTGCTAAAGCCCGTCGCTGCGTCTCTCCTTGCTCCTTCACTTCCAAGCAGAGCAAACGGGTTAAACCGGTCAACCCGAATGTCTGTGCAGCCAATCTTTCCGACAGCTCTAACCCTGGTCACACATTTTACGTCCGCGACACCAGGAGTGGCAGACGTTTCTTGGTTGACACTGGTGCCCAGCTAAGTGTCATTCCACCCACACCAGTTGATCGTCGGTGTCCCAATCCCGGTCTTTTCCTACAGGCCGTCAACACATCGCTGATTACCACATTTGGCACCTGCTCCCTCTCTCTGGACATCGGTCTCCGGCGTCTCTTCCCTTGGGTCTTCGTCGTTGCTGACGTCCCCTGTGCAATTCTCGGTGCAGATTTCCTCGCCGCTTTCGATCTTCTGGTCGACTGCCGTCAGTCACGTCTACACGACAAGACTACCAACCTCACTGTCCGGGGTATCTCTTCCTCCGACGCCTCCCGTCGTCTTGCCGTCTTAGACCCTGAACCCGAGAATCCATTTCGGCAACTCCTCGCCGAATACCCCGGCCTCACTCGTCCCACCTTCAACGTTTCTATTCCACCACATGACGTTGTTCACCACATTCGGACCACCGGCCCTCCCGTATTTTCTCGCCCCCGCCGTCTCGCGCCTACACGTCTTGCTGCCGCCAAGGCCGAATTCGAGCACATGCTTCAAATGGGCATCATCCGCCAGTCTGAAAGCCCATGGGCCTCACCCCTCCACATGGTTCTAAAGGCCGCCACTGATGACTGGCGCCCCTGCGGTGATTACAGGGCCCTGAACAACGTTACTGTCCCGGACCGCTACCCTGTCCCACATCTTCAGGATTTTGCCGGTGCCCTATTCGGCAAGTCTGTATTCTCGAAGATCGATCTGGTCCGTGCTTTCCACCAAATTCCCATAGCCCCAGAGGACGTTTCAAAGACGGCCGTTACCACCCCCTTTGGCCTCTTTGAGTTCCTGCGCATGCCGTTTGGACTTCGCAACGCCTCCCAGACCTTCCAAAGGTTTGTAGACAGAGTGCTTCGCGGCCTGTCATTTGTCTACGCCTACATCGACGACCTTCTGGTAGCCAGCTCCACCACCGAAGAACACATGGAGCACCTGGCAACGGTGTTTGACCGCCTTCAACAATTTGGCGTTGTTCTCAACCCGCCCAAGTGCGTCTTCGGTGTGCCCTCCCTAGAATTTCTCGGTCATCTGGTCGACTCCCACGGCATTCGGCCTCTTCCCTCAAAGGTTGCCGCCATTCGGGACTTTCCACCCCCTACCTCGAAGCGTCAGTTGCAACGGTTTCTTGGTATGGTGAACTTTTATCGCCGGTTTCTCCCGAACTGTGCCGATACCATCCTACCTCTGACCAATCTCCTCTCAGGTTCTAAACGCACCTTTGAACTTACACCAGCAGCACTCACGTCATTTGAGCAGGTGAAAGCCCTTCTGGCTGATGCCACCCTCCTGACTCACTTTCACGCTGATGCACCCATATCTTTGATGGTCGATGCCTCCAATGTTGCTGTTGGCGCGGTTCTTCAACAAAGTCTGCCGGATTCTACCGTGCCTTTGGCTTTCTTCTCCAAGAAACTATCCAAAGCCGAAACCCGCTACAGCACATTCGGACGTGAACTTCTCGCCGCTTATCTTGCCGTAAGGCACTTCCGGCATTTACTCGAAGGTCGAGAGTTCACAATTTTCACTGATCATAAGCCACTCACGTTTGCAATACATTCCCACTCTGACAAGCTAAGCCCCCGGGAGATCCGTCACCTGGACTACATTTCGCAGTTCACTTCAGACATCCGCCATATTGACGGGTCAAGGAATGAGGTGGCTGACGCTCTGTCCAGGCCCTCTATTGCTCATCTTCAGCTTTCAGCCGGGATAGACCTCGCTGAGATGGCCGCTGAACAACGCCGTGTCGGTCCACCCTGTGATGAGGATGTTTCCGGACTCCAACTTCAGGAGCTACCACTGACAACTGGCAACGGCACTATTCTATGCGACGTATCCACCCCATCTTATCGGCCATTTGTGCCACCATCTCTCCGCCGCAAAGTTTTCTCCTCCCTGCACAATCTGTCTCACCCTGGGAGTCGAGCAACCGACAAGCTGGTTTCCGACCGCTTCGTCTGGCCTGGTATGCACAAGGACCTCAAGGCATGGACACGGGCTTGTATCGCCTGTCAACGGAGCAAGATCCAGCGGCACAACAAGGCCCCCATTGGCACCTTCCCGGCCCTGGTTCAAGGTTCAGTCACGTTCACCTGGACATTGTAGGCCCCCTGCCTCTGTCCAATGGTTGTTCCTATCTCCTCACCTGTGTGGATCGGTTCACTCGGTGGCCTGAAGCAATTCCCCTGCCTGACATTGCTGCTCCAACGGTGGTCAAGGCTTTTCTCAGTCGTTGGGTTGCAATCTTTGGTGCACCCTCCACAATCACGACTGACCGTGGTGCCCAATTTGAGTCTAACCTCTTCCAGTCTTTACTCTCCTTTTTAGGCTGTACCCGCATTCGGACGACAGCCTATCACCCGGCTGCTAACGGGATGGTCGAGCGGTTTCACCGCCAGCTGAAGGCCTCCCTACACGCCGCGGCCGATCCGGAGAACTGGACGGACCACCTTCCCCTGGTCCTCTTGGGTATCCGCTCCGCTCTGAAGCCGGACCTTGATTGTTCCGCAGCTGAACTGGTGTTCGGTGCCACCGTCCGACTCCCCGGTGAGATGATCTCGCCAACCCCACAAGGTGCGGTTGAGGATCCCACCAACCTCCTGCATCGCCTCCGGCAGTTTATGCGGACACTTTCCCCGGTTCCTCCCAGGTGCTCCGCCTCTCCGTCTTATCTCGAGAAGGACTTGACAACGTGCTCTCACGTCTATCTCCGATGTGATCGAGTCCGCCGGTCCCTGGAACCACCCTACGATGGCCCCTTCCGAGTTATCTCTCGTGGGACGAAGAACTTCCGCATCCAACGCGGCACTCGTGAAGAGGTCGTGAGTGTGGACCGTCTCAAAGCTGCCGTCCCGGACACTCCTCCGGATGAGCCCTGTGGTCCCCCTACCCCCTGCTCCGCCTCCCCGACCCTCTATTCCACCGTCCCATATACTTCCTCTGCCCCCATGTCCGCAACCCACAACTCCAACTACTACTTCATCAACCAGCAACACTGTAACCGCGAGCCATACTCACTCTACTCCTGTGCCCCCTGTATATATCACCCGTAGTGGACGCCATGTTCACTTTCCTGACCGTTTCGTTACTCATGTTTTTAGACATCAACAGTTCCTTCGGTATCGCTACGCGCCACCTTCGGTCTAGCCGGGGGGTACTGTAGCAGTTCGCGTCTCCTCGTTTTCCGTCTTTGTCACGCTGCCCTCCTGTCCGCCTCACACTCCTTGTCGATGCGCTGATGGGATGCGCGAGTGCTCGAAGCCAATCAACGCTGCCCCCACTCTGATTGGCTGACGAGATTGAGACAACGAAGGGCGCACACAAGCGCTGACAACACCTCGAAGGCGGCCACAGACAACAGCTTGCTTGGAGCGCGCTCGCGACGACTGCCTACAGAGCCTTCGTGTACACGCTTTCCAAGCAGTAAAGGTTGTCCAACTCAAACCGTCTTCCCTGACTTTTGATTGGGAATCTTTATCTTGTCGACCACACCAACTTTCGACAATGAGCACAGACAGTAAGCCATGTTGAACAAGAGGCAGACGCGAGTGTTAAGATTTCGCTTACATGGTCATTTACAGTACTATGTGAATAGTAGCGAAATATACAAACAAGAATGCACGCAAATACACACAGACAGCATCGGCGTTTTCGAAGCAGGAAGATACATTTGGGAAATTCGAGGTGTCATTAGGAGGAAGGGTTGAGGAGGTTGTCTTGACTGATTCTGAGGCAGACAGCAGCAAGCCTGAAATATGGGCTTTCAGAGATAGATAGTTTTGAAAGAATTAGGCCAATGAACGCAAAGTCTGCGTATCGCTGTGCTTTGCCTCAGAGGTGTATGATAGATGTGTACAAATATAGATTAATGCTGTTCTATGTATAAACTTGGCAATCCATGCACAGCGTCTTCACCTTCATCGCACGCATGTGTTGAATGAGGATATGTAATCTAGAACGGCCTTATAACAAAATTGCAATTGTTCTGGCGACTGGATCATATGAATCCGTTGCGTTCGAAGAAGCCGGACTGTCTGAAGAATGTCCACAAGACCCTCGTTGCGCAGTCTCTCCAGTACAATGGACAGCAGGACAAATACGCCCGTGCGACCCGAACCACAACTAAAACACAAATCCATTTTTCACAAATGTGCACGCTTGGTTTATTAAAAAAAAATCTCGACCATATTTGGCCAAAGGGCCCCAAGAACCAACCTGCAGTGAACTGTAATGGGTCCGTCTTGGCCAAACTGGTCCTTTGTCTTGTGGATCTGCGTGATAAAGTTCGTGAAGGCCTCGCAATTGTCCGGCATGCCCATTTCGGGCCACTCAGTATACTGGAACTGACGAACGGTTCTTGAAACACTAGCTCGCGTGTCTGTAACCTTGAACTCACGCAAAGTGTAGGTTGGCATGTTATACTCGACCATTGGATCGATGACGTAGTACTGGTACCTCGCAGATCTCTTCGACGGCCAATAGGGGTAAGAGTGCTCCTGAAGACGAGTGAATGCATGAGTGCATGTTCCAAGACATCTTTAAGGACAATCGGCAGCAAAATTAAAAAAAACTGGTCTTTTTCCCCCCTTCCCATGTGCACGGTATGGGTGAAGTCAGAGGGAGGGGTTGAAACAAATCGAACGTTCACTGATCTTAGAGAAAGATCGGCAAAGATCAGGTATGTATAAGGATCCGTTTTTTTCTGCTGCCCAGGGCAGTTAGGTTTACAGGCTTCCTGTCCGGCCAAGTCATGCACTGTTGGCTTCCTCGCATAATGACCGGCCATTCGTTGAACGCAGAGACGACGCCACGCAAGACAGCGTTCTGTCACCTTGATCCTTTGGTGGACGAGATGCATTCTGTATGTACTTCACTCCTTCCCTTATGACTGACAACATCTAGATCTTCTTATCATCCCGACTGCGAGTGTACAAAGGCAGACGCCACTCTCTGGTGGGGCAAAAGGGGACATATTCTACAAAATATCCCAAGCACATCACTTTAACTCTCGAACCCATTAAATCGTCGTTCAGTCCTTTATTATGCTTCTCGGCGGCCTTACTGGTCTCGATTTCGACTTTATTATTATATAGCTTGTTTGAAACGGTTGCGCGATTATACTATTCTGGTATTAAATTTACGGGTTATCGGTATAAATTCAGGACAACATCTGTTATAAGCGAATATGAGAATCCCTGGTTCTTGTTGTAAAGAAGATGAACACACGATCTCTGGGACAGTAGGTGTATTAGTCTGAGTTTTCGGTCTCGTACAGGAGGCCATCGTCAGAGAATGTGAGAATGCGACATCAAATGAGCCGTTTTTGTAGTCGAGCCATTAGGGGGGGGGTATGAGTGCAGAGGGTGATATTCACGATAAGCTGAGTCCCACGCCGTCTCACGGTGGCGTGACTGCGTGCACTCTTGGCTGGTAATTGGGTCTCGTCTCTTGGCCGCGGGAACGGAGCGCGTGATAGCAGGGGGGTATGTCAATGTGCCTGTTGATAGAGTTGGTGTCAGACACCCAGGCCTCCAACAGTTCTCGCCCTGTCTTTTTGCTGACCCGCACTACTATCCGCGTGCTCGCGAAGTTGAATTCGTGGCCTTCCTCCAGGGTGTGAGTGGCGACCTGAGACAGTCTCTGACAATGGCCTCCTGTACGAGACCGAAAGCTCAGACTAATACAGCTACTGTCCCAGAGATCGTGTGTATCTTCTTTACAACATCTGCTGTGTTCAATTGCGTAAATGTCTAATAAAAAGCTCAAGAACACATGGCTGAGTCGGTTATCGAAAAACGGAATAACTACGACGAATATGTCAGCTAGTGTTTGCGATCTACAAGCAAGAATTGCAACTTAAAAGGTATCGTAAAACCTGGGCTGCACATCTAAGATCATCCATTGTAGCCTACAAAGCCAAAATTTGTGGCAGGAGTTAACGTCGCAACATTTTGCGACAACGGAGCAGACTGGCTCACAAGCAGATGAAACTTTATGGTTTTGTTTTCTTCATGCCCTGAAATCCGACAGGATGACCTGTGAGCTACATTTAAACAAGAACGGTTCAAATGCTAATGTTCTGCCTCTTTAAAGGCAGCAGTGGTGAGGTTTGATCCTGCAGTCCCACTTGATTGATGCCATATCGTGAACTTTCTAAAACACCTTTAGTAGATGCGATTACGTTAGCTTTACATATATCACGTGTTTACACCCTCCTTACTATTTTAATCCGGTGATTGTATGTGTCTCAAGGACGGAAATGCTTGTAGGACAACTTCGGTTGCATCGGGCATCCGTCTACACGAGCCCTGCTTGCGTCTTCTTTAATATCTTAATCCAGCAACTGGTTAAGCAGGTTTGGACGGGTTGGGATTCCGTCGGTTCCACTTTAATGGCTATGTGCTGTATCGGGCAGCCATCATGACCGGTCTGACGTCATTGTTCAAGACATCGGTGACTGAGGGCCATCCACCCTTTTGCACTCAGCCGTTCCAGACGCGCTGGCCTAAGTCACACCAACGACAGCTCGGGCACACCTGCGTCCGCACAGCCACAGCTGCCCATGCGGCCACTTGAACGAACCTCTCCTCTGCAACCACAACCTAAACCATTGGGATACCTCTCCTCGGCAGATGCATCACACACTGACTGGACACCACTTGAGCTTGGCCCACGAGCCTATAAAAGCGGCTGCCACCACCATTTCAGAGACTCTCAGGCATGACTGGACGCAGTCAACACCAGCCCTGGCTTCGCCAGTGGCCACTGCCGCCTGAGAGGACAACTCCGCGTTCTGTGCACAATAAACCCCCCATTCAGGTGCCTTCCGTCTCTCCCCTTCCAACATAGGATTACCCCTGACTATTGTAGTGCTCAGACTGCACAAACTCACACCGCATAACCACAACAGCACCACAAATTGACACACGGTTCTCTCTGTGGTCTTCCAGGTGCGATTGCACTCACCTTATTCGCTTAATCCAGCGAGTGGCTGTGTCGCGGGGAAAGTATGTACACGCTACCTTAGGTTACACCAGGCACCGGTTCACACGCGCTTCCTTGCATGTGTTTCGAGCTCCGCTTGCGCCCTCTTCCCATTCCTAATTAAGCGAGCGGCTGAGATTGGTATGGTAATTGAAATTGTTTTACGAAGCTAACCATATGGCATCAATCAAGTGGAGCTGTAGGACCAAACCTCGCCGAAGCAGTAGTTTACAACTGACGCACCTCGTCTAGACTCCTAAAGTCAAGCTTAACGGCCGTCCCAAATGCTGAATTTGAACATCTGAACGTCTAAATACATATAAAGTAAGGTCATTGTGACTGCAGTTATCGGCATGCTAAATCTGGGACATCAAGGCTTACTGGAGGATTTTCAAGGGTATAGTGATGGTCTTGTAATTTTCCTGGATCCTACCACACTTAACTGGGTTTGTTGGAATGTGGTGAATATGACTGGCAAATGATTGTCCCCAGACTCAATTCCTCGTCCAAAAACGAATGCCTAGGGGTCCAGTGGACGGCGGTAAGTTGAAGGACTTCACTCAACTGTCGGTTGACTGTGGACCGGATAAGCTGTCGGAACGCAAGTAAACACAGCCACTGCCTGGATTTTCACTAAAAGTCTCATTATACGCTTTCGTATGGCGACGGGAATGGGCGCGTTAACTGAAAACTAAATAGAAAGTAAACTTCTGAAATAACGGAGTCTGACTAGTGGCATAAGGTCATGGGAAGTAATAGTGGTTGGCAGTCTGCAACGACCTACAAACTGATGCCAAGATAAAACCCCACATGACACGATCTATAGTCAACCGACAGCTAAGTGGGATCCTTCGCTCCACCGTTGCCGTCCAATGCCCATTTATTCTGTCGAACTCCCGAACGCGGTCTGCGTTTAATAGCCAGAACATTTTAAGTAGACAGATTTAAAGGTCCGGGGAACTTATGTAGACAAAACAGGCATTTCTAGAGACAGGATCGGGCCGAAGACCTCAAGAATTCGCGCAGAAAGTTCTGCCGCAAAGCCATAGTTGCGATGTCTAATGGCCTG